TGGTGGGTTAGTGATCTCATTTAGTACTTTGGTTTTTCCAAATTATTTCGATAAGTTTAGGGACTGGTAGTTCGTGAAATTGGCTTGGCCAACCCAGCTAATCTTCGAAGCGAGGTTCACTCAATATGAAAACTTCCCAAAGTGAACTATTCTATAACTGTGAGCTATAGTCATATTTACAAGATGGGTTTTTGCATACCTGTGTTGTGAAGTTTCACACAAAATATTACGTCTCATTTATTTACGAAATAATTTTCATCATCGTGCTAAACTAAAAACGAAAAATTCGTCATCTTTTTCTAAATATTTTCACGTAAGACAGATAACTGTGAGATCCAGATACGTTCAACTGTATAGTCCTAAATGGGATGGAACACGCGTCCTGGATTCAGTTGATCACCACATTACATCTGTTTTACAGAAAGGGGTAGGCTATAGTTTTCTGAGAAAAATTTTAAAACAATTTGTCTTGATTTATAATATGCTTTACAAATTAATTTACCATAAGTTTACAATGGCTTTGAAAATTTCATACAATTTTAGATAAATCGGAAAGAATGGTGGTATGCTTAAATTAGTTAGTATGCTCATCGTTAGTATGATGAGTAGGTAGTTTAGTGATGTAAGTACACCCCTACATTCTAAAGTTATGAAAGTCAATCACTCCATTCTTTAGTATGTAACAGAGTGAAGTCTCTAAGGCTCAACTTAAACTAATACTGTAGAAAGGTTTAAACACCTCTAGGATCTATGTATAAACCTACTCTACGATGGAAAGGCCTTACTTTTACAATTAAATCAGATCTTCTTATATAATCTATTTATCAGATCCCTTTTAGTTTCTATGACCGAAATTAGTGATTTCTTGCTTTCAAGTAATATTTACACATACGATTTCACTTTTTAACAGTCGTTTCTGTTTACATTTCGTGGTTACCGCTCTTATTACATAGCCTTTGTACATAATACGCTTGGTCTGATGACCGAACATTTCCCACATTTCGTAAACTCCTATACTGTATACTACTTATTCAGTAAAATTGTAACCGATATTATCAGACTTGTATAAATTGCATTCCTATTTATAATTAACTTACTAAACATAATTATGAAAATAAGCTAGTTATAATAAATTCCTTCACAGAACTTTAAAAGAAATATGTGTATACTGTGTAATTAGTGCACAGGTGTTATTTTTATCAGACTTCAATAACATACATCTCGTTTGTTGATGAAATGGATTGTCCTAGATGCATTTGGTGTATAATTTATACAAAAATGCTCACGTGTAAAATTTATGATTTTTGTTAAATGAACAATAACAGATTTGCTAATCATATTTAATAAAGTCTTTATCATGTTTATACAAACCTCGTGTGACACGATGAATGCATGTACTGATTATTTCATTTTGTTTATAATGATTTAACAATCTGAAAAGGTCGTTTTGGTTATGTTTTAAATTATTAGCACATAAACTAGATTTTAAGAATTTTTTTGTCGATTTGACTTTAGAAACTTTATTTTAGCTTCATTCAAAGTCGACTGAATGAATACGATGCTTATTTATAATCAAATTACGAAATGAGTATTGGACTTTATGTAATATTTCAATAAACATTTTAGTTTGATGGATTCTGAACATCAGCGAGTAAATTAAACTAAAAATATATACCACAAAATTCTCGGTAGTATCGCATTGGGGATATTAAAATGTCAATGTAGAAAGATCGTAATTTATCATACTATGAAGTTTCTAAAGAATTTCAAACCCGATAGGTAAAAATATCAAATATATATCATTACAAACTTATAAGTTTACCATTGTATATAACTGAAACTTCACACTCTAATTGAGAAAATGTTAGTGTATGTATAAAACAAATAATTAATATAGTATATCTTAATTTATTATTGAGTTTGCTGAACATGTAGTCATTGTTAATATACATCAGTTCTGAACAACCGTTGTTAGTTAGAATATGAAACACTTATACTTCAGTTATCTAAACTTTTTTCGACTCGGATACTGATTGCCCAGTTGTGATAACGGGTCGCTTTGTTCCAGACAATAGTTGATAATCTTAGAAATCACTGAAGTAAAGGGTTAACTGAGGTTATCAGGTATCATTCTTTCATAGTTTTGACCCAAATGCCAATCAAAGGCAAATAATAAAAAAGGGTAACTATTACTTTCAGCTAGTTGTTTGAGAGGTTACATTTTCAGTCAACTTTACAGATTAATAGGAAATCATTTCCATTCGGCAAAATCATATACTCGAAAATAAGAGTTCCCTTACTGGTTTTAAATATTTAATTAAAACCTTGATTCCAGTGTGAAAAAAGTAATTAGTTAGAAAGAAGGAAATTGGCTTTATATGTGATTTAATTTATGTATATTTAAATATATAGCAAACAGATTACCTTGCTAGTCAATGAATAGAGAATGAAGTCTATCACCTTATTGGGAATTTTATTCTCTTTAAGTTTGATATTTACTTGTTCTTATTAGGTATACTATCTGGTTTTAGTAGTCGATAATCTAATTTAAGAGAAAATATGAATCATACTACTAATCAAATTTAAGTTAGTTATCAAGTCATCGGTTTAATAAAAATAACTATCAAACAAGTCTTGTATAACCTTTAAATACTGAATACTTTCCCAAGTGTAAAACTTAAAGAATTTCCTTGGAACAATGATATTTTTGTCAAGAAGTTATTCTACGTAAATATTGTTCCAAATTTTCTCGGCTGAATTTGTCAATTTTGGATTGAAAAATGGACACAATTAGATCATTCACAAATTTGAATGGATAGGGACTGAACAGAAAGCTTCTTGTAGTGAAGAATCTATTTAATTTATTATTTAACAAATTATTGTCGAGAGCGTTTTGATTCCCAAATAATGCCAGTCAGTGAGAAAATCGATAGTTTCATTGAAATGTACCACTACATAACATGGAGCCTAACATTTTTCTATCGTTTACATAAAAATCCAGGCACAGTACAGTCAAGTATTTATGAAATTCTACACTCGAACTTTATCATAACCGTTTCATTCACAAGACTTCTATTGAGGGCAAAAGTAAACTGAGGTCATCAACTTTAAGTGAGAACCAAAGTCATTGTCGAGCGTGAGGCAATAGAAATCATGATAAACAATCTCTGTCATTGGATTCCAAGTGATATTTCTAGTAGTTTCAGAATTTTTTGCCGAATGACTCTTCAACAGTTCAAAAACATACACTTTAAATTCATTTCGTATTGTTTGTTTGAATATTAATATTGATGTTTAGAAGTGCAAACGATCAGTTTCTTATTGATATAAATACATCCCGTAAGGATTGCCTCGATATTACCTTAAATCCTATGCATTATAAGCAAAGTTGAATGGTGGCAGTTCGTATCCTAGAGCGAACATCAACTCTGGGATGCAGGTATATATAGCTGACGAGTCCCGAATAAGATGAAACGCACGTCCTTGATTCCGCTACTAGCCACCATCCATCTTTGTTTATTATACTCTTTAAAGTTTCTAATGCTTATTTTCTTTTTATCAGTCATGTTTCTGAATATAGTAATTTCATTTCTCGAGCTACTTTAACAATGTATATACCATAGAAGCACCCTTCCCGTCAGCGCATACAAATCCCTCCACACATACACTGGATAGCGTGACCATTAAAGAACTCGATGTTTATGGTATGCTAAATAAGCTTGACATAGGTAAATCCACGGGGTCCGATGAATTGCATCCTAGGCTACTGAAGGAATTAGCTAACTTCGTTGCGAACCCTTTTAGTATATGCTTTAATCAATCCGTAACGCACGATCGTTTACCAAAAGACTGGAAGAACGCCATAGTAAGTCCTGTCTTCAAAACAGGTACGAAACATAAACCTGAGAATTACCGACCCGTTAGCCTAACTAGTGTGGTTGTTAAAATCTTAGAAAAGATTATTCGGGAGGAGCTGTTTAAGTACCTCGATGAAAATCGGATCCTTTCAGAGAAGCAGCAAGGTTTCAGAATAGGTTATTCTCGTCTCACTAAATTATTAGTGGCTCGTGAAAGCTGGTGCGCTCTTAAGGACCAAAAGTTACCTGTAGACGTAGCCTTCATTGATTTCAGCAAAGCTTTTGACAAAGTTCCGCACAACCGGCTGTTATATAAGTTAAGAAATGTCGGGATTGGAGGCAATCTATTGATGTGGATAAAAGACTTCTTAGTTGGGCGTCAACAAAGAGTATGGGTGAACTCAAAGTTATCTAGCTGGGGAACTGTGTTTAGTGGAGTGCCCCAGGGTACAGTTTTGGGGCCAGTGCTATTCCTCTTGTATGTAAATAACCTTCCTCGTCTTCTATCATCATCGGTTTTGCTATATGCTGACGATGTCAAGATATGGTGAACGATACGATGTAAGGGTGATAGCTTAGAACTCCAAAATGACCTGAAGAAGTTATCTGAATGGTTTCGAACCTGGCAGTTGCCGACAAATACTTCCAAGTGTGTTGTGATGTATATCGGTCATCAAGGTACAGATACATACACGATGAATAACACTGAGCTACCTGTCGTCCAGACATATAATGACTTAGGAGTCATCGTTAGCCAAGACCTAAAGACTACTGCACACTGCCATGCAATAGCCGCCGAATGTTTTCAAACCTTATGGTCAATACGTAGGGCTTTTGGTCATGTCGACTCTAAAACTTTTTTGACTTTGTATACAGTGTTCGTACGTCCTAAACTTGAGAACTGCATACAAGCGGCTAGCCCCTGCCCAAAAAAGGACAGTGAGCCTCTGGAAAAGATTCAGAGAACAGCAACTAAGCTGATTCCCGGAATAGCAAGGCTTCCGTATGATGCTCGACTGACCAAGCTAAACCTTTTACCGTTGTCATATAATAGAACTAGGGGCGACTTGATTACAGTTTTCAAATTGCTTAGTGATTAATTTGCACCTGATACGCCCTCATTTTTCTTGTCTTCCAAAACAGAGAATTTACGAGGACACTCCAAAAAGGTTCACAGGCCCAGAACAAATTATTTGTCAGATGACTATCGACTTTCCCATCGAATCATCAACGAGTGGAATTCATTACCTCAGCACGTGATTGAGGCGCCATCCGTCGACTTTTTCAAAAGGAAGTTGGACCAACTGAGAGACCACCATTGCCAGGACTAACACAGGCCATCAAGCCTCTTGTCCTTTCTAAACTGAAACTGATTTGTTGATAAGCTCTTCATATTACTTTTTAATGAATAGTAGTATATTTAAAAGCCTGGATTTTCGCTACCAGAACAACTACTTTTGTTATGCTGGAAATTAGTTAGCAGTTTTATGATATTTCTTTGGATGCAGTTAATTATGTTTACAATAATACATTGCTTGTTGTATTTAACTGTATCAGTCGAGGTCTAAATAAAACAATTTGTTGACGGTAATACATATGAAACCTTCCAGATATCACTCACGTACACCTGTAAGTTTTCGTGAGCCATGGGACACTTACAAGGGGTCACCAATAAACTATGTCCTGGGCTCTCCTTTTCATTAGTCCACAACTTTACATAGTAACCCATTCCCAACCATGTCATCGTTTACTCGGTGATTCAAAGACGCCTATCGTTCAATACTAGCATCCTACAGTATTCTTCGGTCTTAATGTTCATATACATATGACCTGTCCTCCACGTGCTATGACCTTGAAGTTCAGTCACTCGTATGAATCCCGTATGCTGGTGGCAATTTCCTCACGTACTCCATGGTGTCGAAGGAGATTCCATAAGCTATTGCCATTCACGCTGTAGAATATTTTCTAGTAATCAAGGAGGCTGGTGTTCAGTAATGAGTTTCATTCAATTGATTGTTCAACAATGATCCGTAGTATTGTGATTTAGGCAGAAACTGATAAAGCCTCACGAAATTCAAATTGTTGATCTTGAAGATGTATCATATGTCGTTTGGAACTTGTTGATCGGACCCACTCCGAACTCTCTAAGCTTGTTAGGTGCTTAGAGAAAACATATATTAAGCTTTTATAGCGCTGTTCATTCATTTTCCCAGAACTTCTTCATTTTCAGCGTGACTAATACCATGTGATGATGTCTTCATAATCTGTTCCTATCTCTCTGTTCGTACATCTCACATGCACCTTGTAAATATTTTATTGACGCAGATGTGGTCAGTCTCGTTTCTCGTAGTGTGTTCCTGTGATTCCTGTGTAGCTTTGTGTATGGGATTGTCGGGAGAAATACTGCCGTCTATAGTCACCATGTTGTTGATAGCACATAGATTCTCCAGTCGCACTCCATTCTCGTTACCTTCTCGTAGTCTATGTCGTCCCGTAATGCGTTAGTATCCGGTATTGTCTGTCCCGAATTCGGTGTCGATGTTTCATATCAGGATGATCAACATTTTTCTTGAAGATTTGTTCAGGGTGAGTTGGAGTACTTTGTAAAACTGGTGTTTAAGATGTTCTCTGTGGTGACTGGTAAGTTTGTTGCAGAGGATAGCGTCGATTGTAGTGCTTGGTTTCTTTGTCTTGAGTGATGCTTAAATGGTCCTGGAGCCTTATGTTACATAAGCGCTTATCCTGGTTCTTTGGATAACGTGAGTGCGACTTCTTGTGTCTATTGAATATTTCTGTTTCTGAACGAAATACAATGAGTGATCTGTCGAAGTTATTGTTTTTGTTGAGATAGTGTTTAGTGTGTTATACTTATTGCAAACACATTCAGGTTGCGTCTGCTGATTCCCTCGGTTACTCGAATGGTTGTCCCAATCTTTATCAGTCTCCGACATTCCATTTGCGTGTATTAATTGTCGGTTTTGGTTTTGTCGGAGGAGATATGGTGTTGGTGATTGCCGAAGAATTTTGGCTTTCGTCATGAGTCGTGAATAACTTGAACTTCCATAATAGAGTGTAAGTGGGCTGATTAGTGTATTGTTGTTGGTGTGTTTTCACGATATGATTTCTCGTAGTTTCCTAAAACATGTCATGTGATAAAATCTATCTTTAAACTATATTCATTAATCTACAAGAACATCTAAATTGGTGCTTCTCTTTTAGATTGTTCATTTAAAACTATTGATGTGTGTTTGATTTTACAATAAACTTTTGTGTGACATAAATGTCAAAACTATCGAAACGTGAGTTTACAGCTTAAAGAAGCAACTAATACTGATCATATTTAAAACACTATGGGGACTGATGCTGTCATCAGAATTCTCAGCCATAGCCCACAGTATCATAGTTATAGATGTTACTACTGGATTATTTGGGTAATGTAAGATCTTTTGAAATACTAGGATGTTTTGTACATTAATTAAATGGATCAATCGAAGTACTGAAAACACTGGAATGTTATCGGCAGGATTTCGTCAGTACTAAGGACTAGACAAAATTATTTTCGTTACTACTTTGAGTGACTTACAGAGATGATTAATTCTAGTGGTGTTAAACAGGAATGATATGACTTGCTAGATTATGTCGAGGTCACATCCCTCTATCAGTATCTAATCTTGTGTATCTTGTTGTGATAACACTGTGAATCATCTTACTTGCGGACTCTCTAGAATACATAAGGTTTAACAGGGATAGTTCCATCTCTTGATAGGAACAGATTAGAGAAGGATTCATAATAAAAAAGAACACTGAGGACATAAAAAACCCTGAAACTATTAATCCTTTCGATTAATTTAGCTAGAGTAGAAAAAAATATAACGTTTCTGATATGTCTAAGTGATTTCAAGAAAAAATAAACTCCAAGACAATAAAAAACGGATCCTTATGTAATTGTGAAGCATTTTATAAACTAGTAGTAAGACTGACCTTAAGATGAATCTTTAAGAAATGTGTACCGATAGTCAGAGATAAACCTCAGTCAAATAAAAATTCAAGTCTCCACACTTTACCGAAAATTCAAGAGTACGTATTCTGGTGACGATTATTTCAACTTCATCATTCAAAATGGTGTGAATGATTTTGTTTTTATATTATGACCTATCTAGTTAGACAACTTTTGTTTCTTATATGCATATCTTAAGAAGTTATAAAGTAAACAGATTGTTCAATGTATACATATTCGAAAGCAAATAATCAGCTTTAAGTTATTATCATATCAAATATTTTATTGAAATCGTGAATCGATCTAAGCTGGGTTACCACTGAAAGCCTGGATGACCGTTTCGTCCTAGGATGAGACGTCTTAGCAGTGCGCATGCATGGTTCCGTACGCAGAACTCGGACCCAGGACTTTCGGTCTCGCGCTCACACTTAACCCCTAGACAACTGAGCCTAGATGGGTAAGATCAGCTAATGATTTTAATGAGGTCCGACAATTTCCACACCTCCATAATCCAATATTTTATATTAGACTAGGAGTACATATAGTCCTATGTTTAACTTTCTCCTATTTTCGTGGAGATTTAAACATTACTCTGTCTCTTCTAATTTGAATATTTAATTAGCCTTCATATAAAACGTTCCCACGAATGTTTGTGTACATATATAAAGGCTTTTTTGTTTTGAAAATACTGAAGAAATCTTGAATTTGCCAAGTCAGCACTTTTTTTCACGAAAATCTCTATTAAAACTGTCACATATAGATCTAGACACCTCATATGAAAATGTCTAGCAGAGTTTAGTTATTCTGTAATGAAAGTGCTCGTTAAAGGTTCCTAAATTATGAGTTGAAAATTTATTGTGAATATACTGAGTCACAGACAGTCGTTTCCTGAAAATCCCAGAAATTTTCAATCTTTTTACTAGTATTCATACAGTTTTTTTCCATGTGTAGCATATATTTCTTTATTATCTTACAGGCATAAAACAGAGTGTAAATCGCTAACCTCCCACAGTCTGCCAACGAAACATTATCGCACTCGTGACTCTGTACTGACTACACTGTTTCAAATCTCTCATATACGTACTGTTTATAATATATTTGTTGCTGTGACAATAATCTTCTCAGCGAATACAGTGATACAAGATTTTATTGATCCTAAGATTAATCTATATGCCTACGATATGGACATATTGCGATTCACATTTGGTAATTTAGATGATGTATTCCGTATATGGCTTTCAATGAAGATGTCCACTATTTTTATACCATTTTGGGGTGTTCTATTGTGGATGGCTTATAGACCAAAGGTTGGCAAGAAAATCTGTCCAACGGATTGGATTTTCTTTATTGCGTATATCATTTATCAGGTTAGTTGAATTTTAATATCTGTTTTTTCTTCTAGATTTATATTTTTTCATCTTTTACTTAATTAAATCTGCTTGCAGTTTTAACCGTGTTGATCATATAAACAACCACTGATAAGTGTGATTCATACTGGCGAAAAAAGATATCAGTCTTCAGGCTTAAATAGAGTAAACTTTTCGTATAGTATGTATCATAATCTACCATAGTTTAGTCGGTTGGCTGGTGGTCATCATTTCATTTCTCAAACTACTAAAAATCTGAAAACTAGACAAAATTATTTATTTTCAATGATGTACAACAGAGGAAATTTTCACGAAATACCATGACCAGTGATTTTAGTCAAGATAAGAATGGCAGAATGTGTTTACTGTTAATATTAGTCAATAGTTATAAAACACCAATGCGTTCTTCCTGAAATCGGAAATCGTTGTCTGGTGAAAATGTTTGAAGTGATGTTTTTGATTAAGCACGTCGATGTCTACGCGAAACAAATACTTCTACCTTTTCTATTGTTTTGTTGAAACAAATCGATCATAAAATGTAAACGAGCAATTTATTAGTAAATTAAACAGCTGCAGAAAGATTTGACAATATTAGTGAATTTTTCTATCAAGAATTAGCAATGCCAAAAAACTATGGAAAACCAGTAAGCACTGAATAGACGTTTCATTTTATGTTGACTCACTTCGACAGAAAATACCAACGATGAACAGCATTGTGTTTAACCTTCTGATTTACATGTTGTCGTCATCATTTAGGAAAAACTTTTATTGTTGTTTAAACTCATTGACTATCAAATACAGGGAAACAAGAACAAATAATATTATCTGATCAATTTCAAGAACAACAGAAGAGTAAACAGATGTTTCAATCATCAAATTCTGTAATCCCATAAATGCTCTTATTTTTCTTGTATAAAATGAAATTGATATGAATCCACTGGCTGAAATTCGTAAGCAATTGTAAAGAAAATAATGGCGCAATGGTTCAGTGTTATATTGTTAAGAACTTTCATTTAGGATTTGAAACATAATTTCCAATTAAGCCAATAAAATTAAATGAAAAAAGTAAGATAATCAACTATCCTAAATAACATTAGCTCCAAAGATTTTTCAAATCACAATTAGCGACTTAAGCTAGTGAATAGCACAATTTGTTCAATATTTCACTGATACACACTATGAATAATAATAATAATAATACTATTAATAGTATGAACTAATAGAACTTCTATAGGATAATCGATTATTACATTTTTATGACCATTGTACTGTACTACGAGTTATAAATTTCACCAATAAATACCATTTGGAATCACGTGATAATAACGAGATGTAATTCACATGAACAAGTTAGTAAAACAGATTAATTTCAAGGTTTAGTATATAGAAATTCGAAGTGGTCGATTAGCGTCTGTATATAATTAAAAAAATAACATGACAAACATCTTACGATTTATTAATTTTCCTATGAATATTAATAAGAACATAAAAATGAAATGATCCATCTATAAATAACAATTCTAATGAAACATCTTGGATTGGTATGGTAGTTTAACCTTACCGCCAAGGTACAACAGAAGAATTACAACGCATCTAGAAAACATTCAGAATTAAAGCTTTCTATAAAACAACCAACAATCTTCGAAGTGCTTTAGTTATAATTATATATAAAATCCCGTTAACATCCAAACTGTTATAACTTGTGGCCGCCAATTAGAGAGCAATGAATTATCGATCGGACAAATGATGCGTAAAACCCCTACGAGCAGCCTGGAGTCCTGATTGGTCCCGCTTTCCGCCTGGCCCAGACAGTTAAGTACAGAATACCAATCTCAGCCTCTAAGATATGAATCATTTATTTCAAACATACTCGGTTTATACACCAACCAGACAGACCACATCGTACCAATAAAATAGGAAATAAAATTTATACAAGATTTGGCCAAATGTGGCTGTGAATGTGGGAGGTAGTGATTAATAGATGGGGAATAGTTCAAGAATGGAAAATCATCTAGTAACAGTTCATAGGTTAAAATAGAGCTTATGATAAGAGAGACATGAATATTAATAATTTAGTTAACTAATAATTATACGATAAAAATATACGTATAGTATTGGTCCACAAATGGATCCCAAGAATTACCACTCATTATTCTTATTGGGACATGACACAAACAAAATTAAGTCTACAGTTTAATTTGTGTCGATTGTAATGTATGTTTTGTTGGATAGTCTTCTCGTGAAAGCTGGACTTGAGCCAAGGAACACTTAAACTACACCAGGAAATCTAATAATCCTGTGGAGTTGCAAAATCTATAAATTAAACCGGCTATAGCAGTACAGGTTATTTTGAATAACCCCCAAGTCGAGATTACAAATATATAGATAATCGTAAAAGGCCTTCCCAATTATAAAGAAAGCCGAGTAGCTTAAACATTTCGTTTGATACTAAACTCCCCTGTCCTCAACAGGAAAGAAGGACTGACTACTTACTCATCCACCTTGATCTATTTATTATAACAATAAATGTGGCTTTGTTCATATTATACACAACTAACACTGGCATTCACACACAGATTTCAACACTGCTACTTTATTATCAGAATGGGTTTTGTGGAGGAGCACTGCTGAGGAGTCCCATACCAGGACGAAACGGCCGTCCAGTGCTTCCAGGTTTTCAATGGTGGTCTAGCTTCAACTGACTCATGATTTCAAAAACTGTGAAAATTCTAAAATTCTCCACAAAACCCATTCTGATAATAATAATCAACTGCTCACTAGTGACTGACTTCAGGAAAAACTCCTGAAGTTCTAGTGAGAAGCCGTTACCAGTGGAGTTCAACCGGTCTGTTGTGAGATAACAACTCACTGAAGACAATGGTGTACGGTGGCGCAACTTCGTGGATTGGTTGAAGTTAGACATTAACACCGTTGGATGCCGGCTCAGTGGTCTAGTGGTTAAGTGCTCGCGCGCGAAGCCAGTAGGTCCTGGGTTCGAGCCCCGCGTGGTGCGGGATCGTGGATGCGCACTGCTGAGGAGTCCCATACCAGGACGAAACGGCCGTCCAGTGCTTCCAGGTTTTCAATGGTGGTCTAGCTTCAACTGACTCATGATTTCAAAAACTGCTACTTTATATTGAAAATTTCACATTTTTCATATCCATACAAATAGATAAAATCGATGCCTCACACAGAATTATTGACCCATATTTAACATGACATTGACGTGACCAGACCTATTTTAACTTTGGTATCGACTGAACTAAATATTCTGGCTTGTTCATATTCTCCAGTTAAACTTGTGTTAATTTAAAATTTATTTATTTACGCTGAACAAGGGGTTTACGTCGAATCACAATATGCCAGGAATTCAAAATTTTACAATCTTTGGGATATCTTTATTTACTATGACGATTGTTATTCATCACTCATAAGTCTGATATGTACTAGGTATCTGTTTGTTAGTCATTCAATTAATCGTGAACAACTTATGCTTTGACGAAAATATGCGTTGATTCAAGCTGTTACACAATATCACACAATTTTAAGATTCTTTATAAATAGGCAGTATCAATAACCCATTTACACTCAACTTTAAAACATGTGACACTCGTGATAATACAAATGAGGATAGGAATATTGATATTAATGAATTTACAATATCTTAGTGCTTCTGTTTGTGTAATTTCGAAATAAGTTTAGCGAGAGTTAAATGATACTTTGGAATGTTTTTGATTCATTGCAAAGTTTGTTCGTAAACTTGTTAACATTTTTATCGGGCAGTTGCTTACAAAGCTTCATGTACTCGAACGTACTCAGATTTTGGAGAAAATCATATCCTAACTAAAGGAGGTCAAATATTTGAAGCTTGATACTAAGAAGTGACTTTGATTAAACAAACATTGAAAACCAGAATACGTTGGACAGCTGTTTCATCCTAGTATGGAGCTCCACAGAAGTGCACATTTTTGAGCTTGTAGGGGAAAGAACTCAGGACCTTCAACTTCAAATTCAACAATCTTCATAATCCTCTATAAAAACTTGTCAAATATGATTTATAAGTTTCGTTCTCGTTCGGTTTATTTGGCTATAACTATTGTGTTACAACACGAATCCTGTTAAAATTGACAGGTTAGTTAGGATTATTAAATCCTTAGCGATGATTTGTAAATGTTTTGTAGAACTGTATTGAAAGACATGGAAATGTTTAACGTTATCCATTTATTCATATGTTAATCGTTAGATGATTGATTGGATCTAAAACCTATTGAAATGGAATAATAATATTCACATTTAAAATTAATGGTCTGAAATTCGTTTGTTTTTGTTGTTTGAATCTTTCCATTGATGTGATCAATCCCTCTTGACAACTGTGCATCCTGTGCGAATTGTCTTGATATTGCCGTTAATTCACAAGCATCTCACGCAGAGTTAGTGGAATCCAAGACAAGAGTTCCATACTACTCGAGATTCGTCAGAAGGTCTCTGTACCCCTGTGTTGTTGTTTACATCAGGACACGAACCCAGTACCTTTCGCCTCAACAACCCAACAAGGTACATCCAGTTAACATGTCCCAAATGGAATGAAACGCATGTTCTGAATCTTCTTCCTAGCCACTGTTCAACTTTGTTTAAAGTATTCTGAAATTTCTAGCATGAAATTCGTTCCCCATGAACGATTCACAATTTAATTTAAAAAGACTGTGAACTCTTCAGATAATGGGACAATGTTTTTGTAGTTTCTTCGAATGTTTACATGACATAAATTCTCAGTGAAGTAATATTTTGACAGCAAACTACTGCTTTGTACGAATCTCCACTCATTACGTGAGCTAAATAGCTCATCCTTCTGTAAGTTATGGAAGTAATGAATAGAAAGTTATTGCTCAAGGAGATAACCTCAAATGATGTCAGTAAACTTATCAACCTCTGTAATATCTATAGGTATAATCAAGAACTGTGCCCCACACTATTATATATCCACGATAAGGTCCTATAAAATGCATTTTTATGATCCTGAGTACCACAAAACGACTGTGACCAATGATCAAAAGGATAAATGATGTCCAACTACTCTATAAAGTTTTAGTCTTTGACTCCATTTTCTGACAGATAAACATATCGACAGACTATATAAGCCTTATGGTTTTACTTGCGATAAGCATACAGATTATACTGCCCAAAAATCACGTAACCTTCCATTCGGTTGCATCACTTCGTATTTGACAACTTCATTTTTAAAGTACTTATTTATTTAAAAAGATTAGTCCCTTTGATAACCTTATATAATCCAGCGAGAAGAGAAATTGCTTCCTCCTACCTCCAAATTTGTCTTTTTCATCTTGTATTTTTCATATAGAATGTCTTAACGAGTATATATACATACATAGTTCCGATAACCTTCATCTTCTGATTGCATTATCCGAACGTATTTATTTGTTTCCCAGTTTAGCTCAGATAAGAAATCGAATATTACCAAATTATACAATGTGTTTTTTATTGATTTAAAACCAAGTGAAGTTTAGTCGTATGTTTTTAGATACAATACAGATATCCGATTAGTACTGATCTAATACTACGTACAACTTTTAGGTAACCTTCAATTATACCAACACTTTCTTACTGTGAAAATAATAGGAAATATGATTGAAACTAAATTAAACAACTAGATAATAGTACGGTAGATGTAAATATATACTACAATTCATTTAAATACATGTTCCAATAAGTACATTGACAAGTATTGATTAGATTTATGATACAATAGCTGTACCCAAATTTCATTCATCAGAGAATGTTGCATAAGTCAGATTTTTTAGTAATAATCACATCGTAGATCGGTTGAAGTTAGAAATTAACACCGTTGGATGCCAGCTCAGTGGTCTGAAAGTTAGGCGTTTGGGCCTGAGACCGAAGGTCTTGGGTCCGAGTCTCGCGCATGGGATCGTGGATTCTGACTGCTGAGGAGCCCCATACTAGAAGGAAACGGCCGTCCAGTGCTTCCAGGTTTCCCATGGTGGTCTGGCTTTAATCGACTCGTGAATACAACTGTTAAATAATTACATTTATTGGTCGATGATTAATATGTAGTGTTATTTTTGTTTTGCTTTCTGTTTTGTTGGGATGTTGTCGATTGAGTTGTAATATGGGCGCTAGTCTAATTAACCCAACATTGAAGCACAATATGTTCAAAGTATTCTACGGGAATTCTTTGGCATAAAACTCGTCCCACTGTTTTCTCGAAGATGTTTATCTGAAGAAAAATAAACCATGCTTTTTTACTAGTATAATACTTTGCTACAAAGTGCAAGAGAAATCCATTTTAAATACTAATTATGCATGCGCATTTGTGGACTATATACATCAGTGAAGGAAGCTAGAATGTTGTGATGCTAAACAATATTTTTTCTTTCGACAATAACAAACTACTTGGTTGAGAAGTTAATAGGGATTATTACGATTAATATTAGTTTGGGTCTCCCAGCAGTGTACACCCACAGTCTTGCTAAGGGTCAAACCGAAGACATTCAGACCCTCCAGTAAAGAACTAACCTCCAATCAATAATTTAGGATTGAATGGTTCACATTTACAAATTCACACAGCTCTTGATTGATAAATTGGGTACCGAAAGTACGTCATGTGCTTAGCATTTCGAAAATAAAAGTGCTAAAAAACTCAATAATCTTAATTATGTAAATTTGAAATTACTTAAAAGTTGAATATCAAATCGATTTATATTTAAAATAAAGTACTTTGATAGACATACAATAGATGACTTGATAAAGAATTGAGAGTTTTTATGTTTTTACTCACAGGCTGTTTTAATTGTAAGCAGATATAAATTGGTTAATCAATGGTATTTTTTGTGCCTGGATATTAATGATTATCACCATATTTTCAAAGTGTTTAGTTTTATGCAAATCTAAGTTCAGATTTTAGTGGGACCCCAACCATCTCTTAACCAATGCTGATATTCAAGTTCTTAAGAAGCATTTTAAATTCTCTAATTGGTCGAATGTGTAAACTATCCATTTTATAGCTATATATTCCAATTCTTGAATTAATCGAACATCTTAAATTATTAAAATTATCCTATTCCCCTGATCATCACTCTATGGAATAACTAACTAGCTATCACTTGAAGAAGATTAGTCTTAGTATCAGTTCTAAATCATATATATGTATAATGTTACTTTGCTTTCTAAATGTCTAAATGAGAATTTTTACCTTAATTGATTATATCGGTTCAAAAATGACTTCATGTTGGTATTTTCCAATAATTTTATCAATATATGTTTTTCTTTTATTAAACGTAAATATAGGTGGTGTTTTTCATGACGTCATTTCGCTTTACAATAATTTGTGACTTGCCACCGGCTAGTACAGCAATCGTCACAGGTGAACAAGTTCGATTAGTTATGAAATCACATGCATTCGTACGCTATGCAATTGGTAGAATATTTGAAGAAGGTCAAGATGAATCAACACCACCATCACCAACGACCACTGTAACAGCAGGAATCAACAATCATCATTATGTAAACCAATCAAATTCATGTGTTATAGAAATGGAGGAATTTCCTAATTTCTCACGTTATCTTTATTTTTTGCTAGCCCCAACTTTAGTTTATCGTGAAAAATATCCACGTACTCGTAGTATACGATGGTATTTTGTTTTTTCCAATTTCTTACAAGTAATTGTTTGTTTTATATTTAGTTATTATATTTTTATGCGTTTTTGTTTCCTACCATTTTCCCAACTTGGTAAATTAAAAAAATTTTCATTCAAGAAATATATTCTAACATCAACAGCTTGTACATTACCAGGTGGTTTATTAATGCTGATCGCATTCTATTCATTTTTGCATTCATGGCTGAATGCATTTGCTGAAATGTTACGTTTTGGTGATCGTTTATTTTATAAAGATTGGTGGAATGCAACAACATTTAGTGTATGGTATCGTACATGGAATGTAATTGTACACGATTGGTTATATACTTATATTTATCGTGACATACAATTCTTAATTGGAAAACATTCACGTACATTGGCAGCAACCGCTGTTTTTTGGTTATCAGCCGGTGTACATGAGTATATTCTAATGATGAGTTTAAGATATTGTTTACCAGTGTTATTTTTATTTTTTAGTGTAGGTGGTTATGTGTTATTTTTTGTACAGGGTAGTGGACGTGGTTGGAATGTAGTTATTTGGATATTATTATTTATTGGTTGGGGTCAAATGATTTGTTTATATTCAATGGAATGGTATGCACGAAAAAACTGTCCACCAGTTATGGATGGTTATCTGAATTTCTTTATGCCACATATTATATTATGTCCTAGTACTAACCATACTGGGCATGTTTGATATATTTAGGAAGAAACCCAACACAAAATAAAACAGACAACTTATTGAAATTTCTATGTATTTCATTTCTTTTCAATTTTATGTCATTGAATTGAAACATAAAGGAAGAATTTGAAAAGCTCTTCAATTATTATTTACTCTGTCATCTTTCATAAACATATTTTCCAAACTGCTGTCATACAATTCGATTTTTATTTACTTACATTTCTATTTTATTTTATACATAATTAAATAAAACAAATACAAAGATGTTTCGTTGTTCACAAGATTTTGTTTTGCCGTTGAATTTAATTTACATGACGGTAGTGCTTAGATGAATGTAGCTAATAAATAATTATTAATATTAATGACTTTCTAGTTTCGAAGCGCTAACTGTATAGTTGATTTTGAATTTATTACAGATAGGAAAAGATCATAGATAAATGAATGTATCATTGCTAGAATATAGTTTGGTAAGCAAGCATAAACATTTAAGCCTGAACGGTTTAGCAATATAGGTTGCAAAGTTCTGAGTTTAGAAAGCTAAATATCTATAAATATTTACATAAAATGCAAACTGTAAAGAGTAGTTGAGGAATGGTTTATAACAGTCATAAAGTTACTAACTTTTAATAAGTCACATGAAGCACTCGAAATATTTTTGAAATTACTATTATTATTAGAAACATTTAAAACTGCTAAAGGACAAATTATGGGAAATTATGATAGGTTTCTAAGCCATTGGTAATTAGTGAAGAGTTTCCTATAGTTCAAATAAGCCGAATGTTCTGAGAAATACTGATTTGTTATGACTTGAGATTCTAACCGATGTGAAGCACTATATTGCCAGTCGGACCGGTGATCTATTTTCTAAAGTTACGCACTGGCTAACGAACAACAGTCAAGGTCTTAATGCTTATAGGCTCCTGAACCTCTTTCTAATCCAGTAGCCAATAAGAAGACGATAACACGAAGGAAATCAGTTCTCTGTTGTACCCAATTCAATGATGATTCAGAACTCGTACAATAATATTACTGGAAATGTGTGAACACATAGCACACTAAACAAGAAATCATACTTCAATGATATCATATGTGAAAGGCTGCGGAGCAAACAGTACATAATTAATTTGCACTAAATAGGAAATAATAAAGAGTATAAAAATAGTCAATAGGTTCACTGAAAAATCACAGTAACGGGTACGTCGAAATGCAAGAATATAATTACCTATTACCAATGCAGTAAAGATATAAATAAAGGTAACACGAACCATAACTCTGAAAGCTCCAACTTTCCCAATATTCATGCTGTGTTAATAAAAACCTTTTCCGATTATCTCTGGCTGAGATTGAATAAGTTAACCTGAAACTTTAAAGAATAGGGATGGCTAACAGAAGTTTTGTGATGTTAACTTGTAAGAAAGTTTAACACTTACTGGAACCAAACTTGGGGACTTTTGATCTACAAACAACACATGTACATTCACTTTTACTCAATTAGTCTTTCGTTCTTAACGAACTCAGATAACAAGCCTACTAAGGCCACTTTAATTTTGCGTTAATACTATTACTGATTATTCGAAAATAATCATTTAGAACCTAAATTTTAGGGCAGGATTTTTCATCAAAAAACTAAAATTTAGCTAACACATTTAGAAGTACTTCATAAAATGAATTTCGTCTCTAGTGCCTAGTTGTTTAGTATTTTATTTCAGTCCACCATTTTCCAGGATTTGTTAGAAATCTTTCTTCCTTCTCCTGTCCAAATTATGTCCATTTTATTATAAAAAGTTATTTTAAGATAGGATTTTAACTTTAAGTAAATTGTCGTCTGAATACGTTAAGGATCCATATATTCTATAAGTATTCTCTTTGATTCCAATTTGTTTGATATCACACTTTTAAAACATCATTCTCAAACAATATTTACCTTTGAACATGATAAATGTATGCACATCTTTTTGTAAGTAACTTATATAAACATTTGTAGTGTGTATAGCTGGAAACAGACGATAAAACAAACATTATCACAGTCCTCATATACACCTTCACTTTGTTGTTTTAGTGGAACCATAGATTAATGTACAAATAAATATCTCTATTGAAAGTCTGAAATAATTACTCCAACGACGTTTGTTTCCGAAGCTGTTGCCATTCACGCTGTAGAATATTTTCCAGTAATCAAGGAGGTTGGTGTTCAGTAATGAGTTTCATTCAATTGAGTGTTCAACAATGAGCCGTAGTGTCGCGATTCGGACAGAACATGATCGAACCTTACGAAACTCAACATGTTGATTTTGAACTTAGACATCTACCAAATCTTTTATTCGGTTTAGTAACACTCTTGGAAACTTTGCTTGTCACTGAGAGTTATGCGTTACCTTCGTAGTTTGTACACTTACTAAGATCAGCTTTCTTCGGTATATTGATGAGTTATCTCTCTTCCCAGTCTGTTTGTACTTGTTCTTCTTCCCAAATGTTTATGGAGAAAACGTGAAACATCTTTGTAGTTAACATCGTATCTAACTTCAGTGTTTAGCTGGTGTGTTGTCTGATCCATTGTTGATTTATCTGACGGTCTTGTAGATTTCTTCGATAACCGTTGAGTATGGTCTATGGAGAGGTGTTCTGTGTGTGCTGCTTGGACATCCGTTGAGTTCATTGAGACTGGTCTATTCAATAGCTCTTCACATTGCTCCACTCACCTGTTTAGCTTTTCTTGAATCTCAGTGACTGCTTTGTCTTCTTTATTCTTGAATGGTCACTCTAGTTTACAATATTTTCATACTAGTTTATTCGTCGTATCATATAGTCGTCTCGTATTTCTTCCTACAACTTTTTCTGTTGTCATTGCTAGATCTTGTACGTATATCCGCTTGTCGGCTTCAAATGTTCCTCGTCACTTTCTTGCTTGCTTCTGTGATTCGACCTGTGAATTTTCATTCTGTGCTGTTGTCGACTACTATCTTCTTGTTTCCTTTGGTGAAACTTGCAAAGGCTGTCTACGACGATGAGTTCCTTATATTTGTGCTTCTAGAGTCTCAATAGCTGGACAGATTTTGAAGTTATTGCCTCCTCAATTCTTTTCTTGTTGGTCTACATGTTATTATAATATTCAGGGTAGACCGTATTGTATTCCTTGTGTTTATACATGGGGTAGTTGATTTTAAATGTTGCAAATTCTAAAATGTTATATATATACCGCATTACATCCTCTCGCTTGATATCGTGGAATCCAAATGACCAGTCTCTATTGGTTCATGTATATCATGTTTAGAGCAAGTAACTGAATTCAATATTTGTAAAATAAATGAGTAATGAAATACCATATTCCCTAAACTCAGTCACTGTTTCGAACATGGAAATTGATATAATAGAAATAAAGAGCTCTATGATTATCCACATCCAATTATGTATGCTGGATAATGTAGGTTTAAAATCTGATTTCAATCCAATTTTCATGTCATTTTTGTTAACTTGGCAGTAAATTATATGCATTAAGAATGAGACAAATTTATTTTATAAGTTGAAATTTGATCTCAACAGAAAAAAGGACGTAGATAATTTATCTTTAGTTAATTTTATTGTGTTCAGCATAATCAAATCTTGAGTCAAGTGTACATAATCTACGCTAAGACACCAAGTAGGTTTGCGATATCAAATTTCGATAATCAAGTTAAAATACGAAATAGTAAGCGTTTTTGGTTCCTGATATTCCTGACTGAACATAATTTGTAATTCATAGATACTTAGATAATAACTTCTAAGTAAGAGCATTTTCGTTCAACCGAGCATCAAACTTTATACCAATTTAGTTTATTAAAGAACCATCTTTAAAACGTTTAGTCCAGGTTCAATCTGTTACTGTTAACACGTGAAAATCTCTATAAGGCAATTGTTATCATGACAAGTCCGAGATAGGATTCATTCAGAAAGTGTCTAAATATGACATCTTTTGTAGTTTTAAAAACTAAAATTTTTAGAACGAATATTGTAAGCTATGATATTGTTAACAATATTAATTCTAGCAAACACATGCATGACATATACTACTGATCGATATGTGAAGAAATCCCAATTAGTTTCCGTTTGCTTACATTACCAATACATAGTACTGTGACAAGTATGTCAATCAAGGACCATACCACTCTTTAGACTGATTTAATGCTTTATTGAAGCTTCTGGCCCAAAACCAAAATAGGCACATGCTTATGAATAAGCAGTAATAAATTATTTCTTCAGTCTGAATAGTCGTTATCAACTTCAAAATAGATAAATCTATACTCCTGAGTTATTTTTTACTACCGTTCCAGTAGGTGCTCTCTTATAGGTTGAGGCATGTCCGTCGATAAATAACCTGGCTATATATACAATGTGAGTCACGCAAACCGTTTAATGGTGCATAAGGTGTGACTCAAAAATGTACAAATATACATACTCTGTGAGTTATAGTTGCTGTCCAGATGCTTAAGCTGGAGCAAATGACATCGGCATAGACCTATGAACACCGTATAAGTCAAAAGCATACACAAGGTAGATTGTTTTAAATGTTTTGTTGGCGTATGTAAAAAAATTGGTAGACGTTCTGAAAAACAAACGATTTTATAAAGATACCTTTTGTTTTACTGAGCTGCCAGGCAACGAAAAATTCAAAACAGCCATGTCAACATTCATCTCTTGTGTCTAAATTTCGACGAATAGGTAAATTATAGTTTATAACTGTCATAAAAGTCTTCATACTTTATAAACTAGTCAAGTAGTGAGGACAGGAAAGATGCAGTAAACCGCAGGACATAAATTGCAAATACTATATTCTTCTTGCCTATTGATATTTATTTTACAATTGAAACGTATACATCCACTCATTAGAGTAACTGCTAGGTTTACAACAAGACTTATCAGGTGTTAAACATAGCTTGTTTTTATTAACAGAGAAGATAAAACCAACTTGACAAGAGATTAAACTGTTTGCTTGTTGACTTTGTGAAATGCAAATAAAAGCACTTAAGAGTCATTAAAAA